ATTCCAGAATCAACAATCTGCAGTATGGAATTGGCTGGGATTCCCAAACAATGTACCAAGCTTTCAACATAAAAAAAGAAAATACAAAATCTTGATATTCAGATGGCTACAATATGACATGGGAAAAACATATGTAAAATGCTCTGATGTGATATGGGAAAGCACTGTAGAACTGCAGACCAATTGAACAGCCTACAAACACATAATGTTTGAGTATCATCTAAAACTACAAAGGTGGAGATAATTGAATAACAACCTGTATTGCTCAGGGTTCTCTAGAGGAACATAACTGATAGAATTCACACATACAAAAATGCACACATGCATGCATGCACACAAAATTTATTAAAGTAGCCCAGAGGCTATGGTCTGGATAGTCCAATAATGGCTGTCTTCCTGAATTACCTAGAATCCAGTAGCTGTTCATGCCACAAGCCTGGATGTCTCAGCTCATCTTTGATCTATGTAGAAGTCCTAAGAAAGTAGATTCTAGTGTCAGTGAAGGAACACTTTAACAATGGGATAGATGAACTTGGTATCCAGATTGAGAACTACAGGCAGAGAGCAAAACATTCTATTTTCCATGCCCTTTATGTGGGATGCCATCAGGTATTGTCTGGATTTTAGGGTGGGTCTTCCAACCTTAAACAATCCAGAATAGGGTAGGTCTTCTCAATGATCCAATTTAGAAATATTCCTCACAGATGTGTTCAGCTGCTTGGGTTTTAGTTAATTCCAGATATAGTCAAGTTGACAACAAAGACTAGCCATTACACAACCCCAAAGAGATGTGGACCTATTAAAATTCAAAGGTTAGGGACAACAGTAAGCTGTGAATGTTAAAGTCTTTAACATAAAGCAAGAAATATATATAGTGTACTGAGCTAAAAAAAGGTTTATTTAAACAATAGCTAGCCTTTATCATCTCATAGTTTTAATATTTTCTAATCTATTTCATCTTTATTTAATTGCTAGCCAAAATGTATTGCTTCAAGGTCCATTTGTTTGAAAAGCATTGGGTTTCACCACCCGATGGATGTGAAGGTATTCCACTACAAAGGAAACAGAGAGAATATTCATCCAGCACAGCCACAACTCTCCTGTCCTGAGGAGGGAGTAGTGTAAGAGTTCCTACTGATCTTCAGTGCTGAGACAGCTTTGATCTAGATCCCTTTCCCACTAAAAACTACTCCATGTGGTAGAATAAGTAATAAATTCCTATAGCAAGCCAAGCTATAGCAAAGGGAAGTGTCACAGGCTTTTTCTTCTCTACAATTTGCATTTGTGGGCTCATCTTCATTCTACCTGCAAGAAAAGGTAAAATGAAACTATTCTCATTTCTGAGAAGATCTTGAATTCAGTCCCTACTTGAATGTTTCTGAGTTTTCCAGCGTGACATCATCACACTTAACAAAACTTGGGTTCTTCATCTAGATGAAAACGTGATTGTTTATCCACAACAGTTCAGTCAAGATTGCTCACTGAGTCATTCCCAGGTTCCTTTGTTCTCCTGCTAGAGACTACACCAGAAGTCCAAGTCTCATGGGCTTGCTTAGAAAACAAATAAATTAATTAAATAAAAACAGTTAATAACAAAAGCTATGAAGGAAAACACCAGCATCCTAGACTGGAAAATATTAGACAAGGAAGGCCATTCTCAGTCAGGCCATTGATGTGGAGTGATAAAGAGGGAGTTCTTTTCAACACTTTGGCCACACATATGTTGGAGGATTTATTAAGGCAACTCCATGTAGTTAAAAAGGAGGTTTATCTTGGGGGGTAGCTTACAGCTAGTAAAGGGGTTGATTACAGGATCTGGGAGAGGTGAGGTGTAGTCCAGCTGGGTTCTCTGGAGAACTCTGCTTGGTCTACCATCCAGCATCCAGGATCACCAGGAAGGAAGAAGGCCAGCACATCCGGATCTCAGGTCTTAAGGGCTCCTGTCTCAGCCCCACCTCAGGGCAGGTCGGGTAGGCATGATAGTTACCGGAAGCCTCATTGGGGGTAGTACTTCTATGGTGATATTTTATTTGTGCTGAAATGTGATTTTATTTGTATGTTAATAAATAAAGTTGCCTGGGGGTCAGAGCTAATAGCAAGCCCTTTAGCAGAAGTCTGGCAGTGGTAGCACACGCCCTTAATCCCGATCGCATGACAAGCAGATCTCTATGTGTTCAAGGACACAGCCAGCATGGAGACACACACCTTTTTTTTTTTTTTTTTTTTTTGGTTTTTCTTGACAGGGTTTCTTTGCACCTTTCCTGGAACTCACTCTGAGGTGCAGGCTGGCCTTGAACTCACAGAGATCTGCCTGCCTCTGCCTCCCAAGTGCTGGGATTAAAGGTGTACACCACCATTTTTGTATGAGACACACGCCTTTAATCTCAATACCAACCATAGAGACCTGGAGGTCTGTATAGACAGGCAGTGACAAGGAGGTCATGTTGTTGGGTTTACAACCAATGAGAAGGCAGAACTGAAAGTCAATAAAGAGACAGACACACAGGAAGTAGGTCTCTTTCTGAGTGGAAGGACAACAGTGACAGCAAGGGGTAAGAAGGAGGTCTTGGTCTTAGCTCTTGGCTGCTGCTCAATCTCTGGGCTTTTAACTCTGCATTTGGCTCTGTGTTTCTTTTTTTTTTTTTTTTTTTTTTGGTTTTTCAAGACAGGGTTTCTCTGTGTAGCTTTGCGCCTTTCCTGGAACTCACTTGGTAGTCCAGGCTGGCCTCGAACTCACAGAGATCCACCTGCCTCTGCCTCCCGAGTGCTGGGATTAAAGGCGTGCGCCACCACTGCCCGGAGGCTCTGTGTTTCTTATTTAATAACACCATTCAGAATTACATCTACATACTTCCAGGTCAAAACTAGAACAGCTACCCACTACACACATAAGTAAATATGTCATCCAAGAAAGAACTATTGGTGTCAGAAGGACAGTATGTCTTAATCCCACTGAGGAGTTTGGAATGCTGCATGAGATGAAATGGAAATGACCTGAAGTTACTTGATTCTCCCAATCAGAGAATGGGAATTCCCTCAAGTGATGTTATCTTATGGATTTCTGTAAAGCCCCTATTTGTAAACCATATGAAGAATGGATTAGTTAGGGGTGTGGCTAGCTGCAGTGAGATTCCTTTGGAGACTGATTGCCAGGATAGAAAGATACTTTCATCTTCAGTAGGACTGGGTTTTGCTAATAAAAAATGAAGAAAAGCAGATGAACCAGCAAAATTTTGTTTAGCGTAGTTTTACAAGAAATCACAAAGAAGTGAATTGAAAATTGGGTTAATAATGAACACATTCTAAGTCCAGGAGATGGCTCAGTAGGAAAATACTCATAGCCAACCTGGAGACTGGAGATGGATCCCAAGTACATGACAAGGAAAGCGCCAACTTCCTCAGTTGCCCTTTGACTTCCATAAGCATGCCATGGCATTTATGTGTATGCACACATGCATAACAACTCACTTATTTAATTAATTAAATAACTTTAAAAAACCAAACACTTAACACATCCCAAAGGAAAAATGATAGTTTGAAGACAGAGTGGGAGAAGTATTCGCTAAGTGAAAGCCTAATGTGTGTTATAAAATTCTCACATTTATAACTAATCTCATGTTCTATTCTGGGCATTATTTGCTAAAATAAGATATTAAACCAAGAGTAAAAAGGAAGAATACCTGCTTTAAGAATTTTCAGTTGGTGAGCCCTATTGAAAATAGCTATAAAAGATTTAACTAAGATAACTAAATCAAAAACAGCAATAATCACCTGGTTTCAAACTAGGATTCCCTGGGGAGCTTTACAGTCTCCATGCCTAAGTTCCCCTGAGTGAGTCTCATTTAATTGGACTGAGGTAGATTCTGCCATAGGTATTTCCATGAAGTTCCTTGAGGATTCTAATGAGCCACCAGGACTGAGTCCTGAGTTTAAAAGTACAGCTGAGGATGTACATCAATAAAGCTATTTCATTAATGGCATTAATGGAGAGAAAGGGTGAAGAAATTCTATCACCAAGAAGTTTAGTGTAGGTAAACAATATCTTAACACAAGAAAATAAAAACCCATTTTTCTTTTGTGGGATCAGTTCTTAGGTTTGGGAAAATGTTACTCTTGTTAAGGAAGCACTTAGTCATTTAAAAAAAATTTATGAGCCGGGCGGTGGTGGCGCACGCCTTTAATCCCAGCACTCGGGAGGCAGAGCCAGGTGGGATCTTTGTGAGTTCAAGGCCAGCCTGGTCTCCAAAGCGAGTTCCAGGAAAGGCATAAAGCTACACAGAGAAACCCTGTCTCGAAAAACCAAAAAATAAAAAAATAAAAAAATTTATGAATTGTATACTTATGGATATTTTGTCTGCATGCTTCTCTGTGCATCATACTCCTACTTGGAGCTCCTGGGGGCCAGAGGAAGGCAACAGATTCCCTGGGATTGGGGTTAAAGCCAGTTGTGAGCCTTCATGTGGGTGTTGGCAGTCTAACCCGGATCTTCAGGAAGAGCAGCCAGTGCTCTAAATTACTGAGCCATCTCTCCAGCTCCAGGCAGCACATATTTTTAAATTATTGTATTTCTGTTATGGACAATGGAAACAGATTAATAGCTCCTGCTTGACTGACAGAAAAAAATAAAATAACTGAGGAAGTGGGTATCAAGTCGGCCTTTACAAGGAGACAGATTGGGGTTTAAAAAGTGAATTGCGCCGGGCGGTGGTGGCGCACGCCTTTAATCCCAGCACTCGGGAGGCAGAGACAGGCGGATCTCCGTGAGTTCGAGACCAGCCTGGGCTACCAAGTGAGTTCCAGAAAAGGCGCAAAGCTACACAGAGAAACCCTGTCTCGAAAAACCAAAAAATAAATAAATAAATAAATAAAAAATAAATAAAAAGTGAATTGCATTGGAAAAGTAGTCAAAAGATAAGAATTCCATCATTTCCTTGAGAAAATATTTATGTATGAATACATAGATTTATGTGTGTTTGTATGTGTTCATATATAAACTAGTTAGCAGGTACACTTACTGGTAATGAGTTTTAGAGTATCATATGACTGATGATAATTGTTCTTTAGTTTGAACCATAAAAATTTCAGAACAGGACTCAAGTCAAAGTAAACAATTCTCTGGAAACACAATGGAGGGTGTAAGGTCATCTGATGGCCACAGCAATTCTATTTGGCCTGAATCTTTCAGTCCATTGGGGATCACTCTGGACTCAGAACCAAGATCTTGTATTAAGGTTTTCACTTTGCCCCATTTACACATTCTTTGTTTCCTAACTCCAGTTAGAATAGAATACAAGTGTCCGGGAAGGGACGGGAACTGTGCCACCATAATTCAGTAGTGGAGGCGGGGATCCGACAAGGGAAGCAGAAACACATAGCTGTAAGTGAGTGTGTCTGCTTCAAGAATGGGTGGAACCGAAAGGGGCTGAGGGACAGAAGGAAAGAGCGAGAACGGAAAGAATCCCGGGATAATAGTGTGGTCGTAGGGAAACAGTATATAAAGGGGTTAGAGAGGCGGAACAAAAGCGTCCTGTAGTCAAAAGAAACTCTTGGCGCGCCTCCGCTCGAAGGAGGTGGGGACCACTAGCGGGAACTACAAATCCCAGCAGGCCCCGGGACTCGGAGCCCGCTCGCCGCACCGCGCAACGCCTGCTGGGGGCTGGTTGCCGCGGCCAAGATGTCGCTGTTCAAGAAAAGAAAGCTTGAGTCGGGGGGTGGCGGCGCAGGAGGGGAGGGAGCCGAGGAGGAAGTTGGCGGGGAGCAGGAGGCAGCCCCGCCACGACCCCGGAGGACTAAGCGCGAGCGAGACCAGCTGTACTACGAGTGCTACTCGGACGTCTCGGTCCACGAGGAGATGATCGCCGACCGCGTCCGCACCGACGCCTACCGCCTGGGCATCCTGCGGAACTGGGCCGCGCTGCGAGGCAAGACCGTGCTGGACGTGGGCGCGGGCACCGGCATTCTAAGCATCTTCTGCGCCCAGGCCGGTGCCCGGCGCGTGTACGCGGTGGAGGCCAGCGCCATCTGGCAACAGGCCCGGGAGGTAGTGCGGCTCAACGGGTTGGAGGACCGCGTGCACGTCCTGCCGGGCCCGGTGGAGACGGTGGAGCTGCCGGAGCAGGTGGACGCCATCGTGAGCGAATGGATGGGCTACGGACTTCTGCACGAGTCCATGCTGAGCTCCGTGCTGCACGCGCGGACCAAATGGCTGAAGGAGGGCGGTCTCCTCCTGCCAGCTTCCGCGGAGCTTTTCGTGGCCCCGATTAGCGACCAGATGCTGGAATGGCGTCTGGGTTTCTGGAGCCAGGTGAAACAGCACTATGGCGTGGACATGAGCTGCCTGGAAAGCTTCGCCACGCGCTGCCTCATGGGCCACTCGGAGATCGTGGTGCAGGGTCTGTCCGGCGAGGACGTGCTGGCCCGGCCGCAGCGTTTTGCCCAGCTCGAGCTGGCCCGCGCCGGCCTGGAGCAAGAGCTGGAGGCCGGTGTAGGCGGACGCTTCCGCTGCAGCTGCTATGGCTCCGCGCCTCTGCATGGTTTTGCCATCTGGTTTCAGGTGACCTTCCCTGGAGGGGACTCGGAGAAACCCCTGGTGCTGTCCACCTCGCCCTTTCACCCGGCCACTCACTGGAAGCAGGCGCTCCTCTACCTGAATGAGCCGGTGCCGGTGGAGCAAGATACTGACATTTCAGGCGAGATCACTCTGCTGCCCTCCCGGGACAACCCCCGACGCCTGCGCGTGCTTCTGCGCTACAAAGTAGGGGACCAGGAGGAAAAGACCAAAGACTTTGCCATGGAGGACTGAGCGTTGCCTTTTCGCCCACCCACCTTCTTCGGAAGGTCGGAAGAGAAAAGGAGATCTGTGCAAGTCGGAGACATATTTGTCTCCTCTTCCTCACGGTTTCTGGGAAAGGGAGAGTGACTTCAGTCTTCATTTGAGGACTTTCTTCTGGCCATGTTTATTTAAAAAGTGAGCCTCCCTGACCAAGGACTGATGCGGTTTGCTTTTAAGCCTGGAAAGCATGTAGTATCAAACTTGTATGTGTTTCACTGCGGGGACAGGTGGGGGGATAAATATGTAAGTTTATAATTGGTCCACGCTCTAATCTGACACCTCATCCCTTATCTCCATATGAACTGGGAAGAAAGGCAAAAGGGTTCGATTAGATTTTAGAATTTTCAAGTATGATTTTTAGAGCTTTTTTTTTTTAAGTCTCTGAATTCTCTCAAGTCCTAGGTGCCTGTAGGATGTGGTACATGTGCTTCCTTATGTTCTAAATAAAATTCGTTCCGTTAGTGAGGAACTGGAGCACACGTGAAATACTTTAATTCGCCCTATTCTCATTACTCTTAATCCCCGGGGTGCTAAATTTGATGAACACAATAATCCTAGTAAAATGACTAGTTTGTACAGCCTAGACTAATTGTTTAGGCAATTCTAAATGTAACAGTAGGAAAAGTCTGAACATGAAATAGTATGGGTTTGAATATCCTATTTTTTACTTTTAAGGCTGAGCCAAAAAAATTTTATAGATGTTTTATAAGAAATATTTTATGATTCTTGTAAAGCAGGCTGACCAAGAAGATTGCTGAGCCTAAGCCAAGGGTATATTTTATCCAGTGTGCTTCTTGAAACTCACTTGAAGGAACATAAGTGTCCTACTTACAAGTTCCTTTCTTCAGTTCTTTTTAGTTCAGCCAAATGTGAATGGTGTAAATTTGGGGAAATCGCCTATAATGAAGTGTGAGTCATGTTATCAAATTGATTTCACTGACGTTTCTTCCCTCACTTCTGTGGCAAATAAAATGGCATTCTCACTTTTTATAGCTGAGGTCTTAAGACGTTTTGTGTACCATCTATGAGTTTATTATAATGCTGTTACCTTTCTCATGGTGTCAGCTCTGAAGTATTGCAGCGCCTGCAGAACGCAGCTTGAGGACAGTTCAGATTATGATTTAGCATGGTTTGGAATTCTACTAGCTTTGGAAGGTTTAACAAAAAAACAGGTCTAAAAATGGGTGATCCTGAACACTCTTGAATTTTAGTTTTTGTAACCTTGTTTCTGTTTTTGGCTTTTTTATTGTATATTAAATTGCTAAACTATTAAAGCTAATTTTCTGAGCTCTATTTTGAAGGGAAACATGCAAATATAAAACCATCAGGTTTACAAAACAGTCAAGCACTCCAGTAAAATCTCAAAATTTTGATGTCAAAATCCTTAACAAAATACTTAATATAATTTGGAAAGTAGTTCCTTTGGGATCATCTGTGTTTTTGATCAAGCTTTCACCTAGAGTGATTGCTGGTGATTTTGTCTGACCTTTCTATAACAATTCTCCTCCGTAGTTAGAAGTGTCCTGTGGAAGCACTCTTTTCTGTGTATTTTGAAAATAAAAGTGCTATATTCAAAAGAAAAAAAAAAAAGGACAAAAGGGAAAATCCAGTTAAAACTTGGGAGGGTGTGAGAAAAGACAAGATTTTCCTGATTGGGCAAAGTAAGTTTCAAAATTCTAGTTACATTTTAATTCAGAAGAAAAAGAAATTAGACAGATATGGAGCTGAGGCCAACACAAAAGGTAGGAGGCATGGTGGAGTACTTAAGAACCAAGTCCCTGGAGCCAGAAAGCCCCAACACACTCCTCTGAGTCTTCAGGCACCCTACCACCACCACCTCCACCACCTCCACCACCACCACCACACCACCACTCTCCCCCCACACACTTGTTCTTCTTTCCTTTCAAAGCCCTCATGCAAACTGGAGGTAACAGACAACTGGGAATAAGAGTAATTAATACAGGAAACCTAGAAAGAAGCTCTCAGTGCCGTGGTGCTGAATTTGTGTAAAAGGCAAACCTAGAGCAGTCTGAGGCTGCGTACAAAATGTGCTACAGAATAAATATTCATTTTGGTTTTTTTTTTTTTCTTTTACAGGTACTGTTTACAGTATCAGCATGGCTATACAAGAGGAGCAATATATGCCACTGAGTACCAAAGGATACAGAGGAGCGCCGCAGCCTTTGGGATGAACACACTTGGGAGGGATGAAAGCCTGAGGTGTGTGGACACCCAGGCACTGTCCGATGCATTATGTAGATGGGGGCTGGTAATGTGGAGCCCTTAAGGCTCCAGGTCTGGATTACCAGACCCAAGACAGCACCATGGTAAAGTTCATCTACCTCCCGCACAGCTTGTATTTGTTTATCCCTGTAAAATCTTCCATTTATTTTCTATTAATTTATTGAACCTATGAACGTAGTTGCTAAAAATACAATCTAATAGTCATTGTGACAGGTATTTGGGATTACAAACTAAAAGAATGTGAGCTCTGCCCTCTAATACATCACTACCACTACAGAAACTAAAAGCCATGATGATAGGGTGGGGTGGTTTTAGTATCAGGAAGGATAAATTATTTTACATATTAAGTACAAAGGTTTCTGTAAGTTCCATAGATATAATTGTCATTTGTTGTTTGTTTTGTGAAATGGGGTCACATGTAGTGCATCACTGTCCTGAAACTCACTGTGTTGCTGAGAATGACCTTGGACTCTTGATGTTTCTAAATCTACCTTCCAGATGCTGGAGTTAACAGCTCTGTGCCACTGTGCCCAGCACATACCTAATGCTTGGCAGTAGATCTTGGGCACAACTCTTTGACTTCCTAAACCTAACCAAAAATTCACTTTCATTATATTAATACTGCATACTTCAGTTGAGAACAGAACACTACAGACCACCTTAATGGTAACAAAGGTTTAATTATTTGATGCTAAAGGAAAAGTTTTTAGTACTAGGGAGCCTCACGGGTGACCCCAGATCAACCTGGAAGAACCATCTTTAGTGTATAACTCCTTTTGACATAGTAGGCACTCATTGGGACAACCCCTGTTTTTATTTCCCTAACAGTGAATCAAAGGTGACACTCTGGGGTCCCCAGAAAACTGAATCCATGACAGCAGCAAAGGCAAGTGAACTCCTTGTCATTTTGGTCATGGGCCCCCTTTGGCAGAGGGCCATCTGATAGATCTAAAGAAGATACAGAAAGTAGCATAAGGAGTTCAAGAAGGTAGATGTGAAAGGTACCTGCTGCAAACCTGCCAGTCCTGCTGCTACCCCATAGCTTACACTACCCAGTACCCAAGATAGGGAGCATTTACAAACACAGGCCCCACTCCCCACACATGCTCATCTATGTATGTTTCTCTGTTAATTTTATTATCAACAACTACACAGTATTTAAGCACTATGATAAATTAGTACATCCTTCGCTCAAAGATCTAGGATAGCATGGGGACAATAAAATGGCATCAGTTGTTTGCATGCATCCATAAGCCTGGAAAGCCTTTCTAGCTCTCGGCTCTGCCCAGCAAAGTTGGAAAGGTAGCTCTCATCCCTTACGCCTCTCCAAGGATTGAAAAATCCTCTTCCTATCATCAGGTAAATTGTGAATGCCTGCAAAACTTTCCCATCTGATGTTCTCAAATTAGACCATATCCTCCAAAATATTGGTCCGTTCTATAACAGACAAAATACATTAAATAGGTGATCCTTTTAAGCTACTAAAACAAAAAAATCTAAACCAAGTCTATACCCAGCTCTGTATATGGTGTGTGTGTGTGTGTGTGTGTGTGTGTCTTTGTGGCTGTTTCTGTGTAAGTGTGCCTTCCCCAGCTTTCTACATGATTTCATTTCCATGCTCCAGTTTGTGATTTATCCTTTCACTTGTAATAAATATCACATATTTTATTGGAATTTATGTAACCTGGTCTATTCTTTGGGGCTCTAAAATCCTCTTGGGGGACTGGAGTGACTGACTCTGTGGCTGAATATTTGACGAGCCTAGGCAAGCCCCTGAATTTGAACCCAGGACTGCAGAAAACAGAAGGCTTTCTGGAGTAACTTCAGAAGAAATTCCGAAGATGCAAAGGTTTCTGATAAAGGACCAGAAGACTCTTAAGCATGACACCTTTGTTTCCAATAAAATGTGATTGTCTGAGGTTTTCCATTTGGATGGGGAGCTGGTTTGATACCATCCTTCTAGACATTTTTTCAGATGCTGACATTTTAAATAATCAAAATTTCTAAAGATATGAAAAATGTTCAACTGTTTTTCCTAAGCTTAGACCAGACCTGATGAATCTTACACATCATAGTAAAGAGAGGTACAGATTTCTAAACATTTTCCAAAATGCATCAAAATAGTTTAATGAGAAGAAAGGATGTGACATAATTAAACCACATCTAAGGATGTTGGGGGGAATTGAATTTAATTCAATACTAAAATGATTTTAAATATTAGCACATGACCAGTAACATAATTGGAAGCTTTTGGAAAGTTTTATAATTAAATTAATCATTATAAAAACTGTAGAGGGCCGGGCGGTGGTGGCGCACGCCTTTAATCCCAGCACTCGGGAGGCAGAGCCAGGCGGATCTCTGTGAGTTCCAGAAAAGGTGCAAAGCTACACAGAGAAACCCTGTCTCGAAAAACCAAAAAAAAAAAAAAAAAAAAAAAAAAAAAAAAAAAAAAAACTGTAGAGGACCCAGAATCTGCTCTTGCAGATGACTCAGAATCAATTCCTAGTACCCACATTTTGGTTCACAACAATGTTACTCCGATTCCTAGAGATCTGCAACAATATAGTAAGAAACAAGATGAGAGATACTAAAACCTCCTGAACTTGGTCACTGAGTTTATTAACAAAACCACAAATCCAAATAAAAAATAGTTTAAGAGAGAAATTCCTAACAAACACTGTGTGGAGGAGCCCCAAAACAGCTTGACCACACAGCTGCCATGACAGGCTTAGAGGCCCAGATGCAGCTTCTTGACAGGCCTACTGGCAGGCAACACCCAGATCCAGGAAAAGCCATAAGCTGACCCCACCCAGGGAGGGCCTACATCTAAGGGGAAGTATCTGACATCCCAAACATTCTAATCATTAGATAAGATGGCCAGATGACCCTGAGACGAGCATACACCTGTTTTTGTTTCACAGATACCCCTAGACAATTGTCAGCCAATCAGGGTCCTGAACCCTGGAAATCCCCTCACCCCAACCACTGCTATGATAAAAACTCTACCCCACCTGAGCTCAGGGCTCTCTGCTCTCACTGCTGTGTGGAACAGACAGACCAAGCCCCTGAGCTTGAAGGTAATAAAGGCTCTTTGCTTTTACATGCGGGATTCAGTCTCTGTGGTGGTCTTTTGGGGATCCCTGTGATCTGGGCTTAACACACTGAAGTCAATATAAGCAAACAGAGCTTCATAGGAAGGACTAAGGAAGACTTTAAGAACAAAATACACAAAGACGGGGGAAGTTCTAAGATGAGCACATGGCCAAAGAGACCCATTGGAAAGAATCTGTGGATCTAGCATGTGCGCCTTCCTCTAAGGTTTGATGCATTCACCTGCAAAGGTGCTTTGTGTTCAGTGGCTGTCACCTCTTAGCATTGAATTATTAAAGGTGGAAATTGTGGTGGTTTGAAAGAAAATGGCCCCCAAAGAGAGTGGCACTATTAGGAGGTGTGCACTTGGAGTAGGTGTAGTCTTGTTGGAGGAAGTGTGTCACTGTGGAGGCCGGCTTTGAAGTCTCATATATAATTAAGCCACGCCCAGTCAGACAGTTCACTTCCTGTGGCCTTTCAATCAAGATGTAGAATTCTCCAACACCATGTCTCACTACAGGCTGCCACACTCCCAGCCTCCATGCTTCCAGCTGTGATGATAATGAACTAAACCTCTGGAACTGTAAGCCACCACCTCAGTGAAATGTTTTCCTTTATAAGAGCTGTCATGGTGGTCATGGTGTCTCATCACAGCAATAGAAGCTGAAGACGGGGATGATCACAACTGAGTCAAAAAGCTCCCACATTATCTGCTGATGTTTCTAATGACCAAGGAATTTTAGTTTGTTTATTTTTACATAAACATACATTATACCAAAATATTCTGGATTTTGTCAATTTTCAGAAATTAAAGTGGCTTGAAATTTTATTGGGTTTCTGGAGCTTTTCAATATCAGTTTTTTGAAGAGAAGTAGAGTGGAAAGCCAGCTATAGGTGTCTGTAAATTCATATACTTCTGAATGAATTCATATACTCCATTATTTTCCACGAAAGTAAACAAGAAAAGAGGAGTACAAGTTCTGAGGGATGTAGCATAGGAGACAATAGTTGAGTATAGATGCCTGAATTAAGGAGGTAGTTGAGGTCAGTGACAATAAGAATTTTCCAGTAACATAAAAACATCTTGAGGCAAAGAAACTTAAAGTTAAGATCAGTACCCCCATTACACATCTTCCCCTCAATCACCGTTACCTCATGTTTTTTTTCTGAAAATACGTATTTATAAAATAGCTGTACTTAGATTTCTGGCCTATTACTTACTGTTTATCTTTTTTATTTTGAGATAAGATCTCATTATACTATGTAGTCTAAGCTGGCCTAGAAGTTGTAAGCCCCCCCCCCTTTTTTTTAGCTTACTTTCTAGGACTATTTGAGGACTCCTGTATATCAGAAATGCTCATCTTCTCTTGTCAATGAAATCTTTCAAGCCCTATGTACAAATTAATAATGGGGGATACAGAATGATGTAATGACTAAGCTTTAACTTAAAACACAAGATTTGTCATAGATTACACGCATTGTAATTTATATAATATTAGCATAGTAATCATAAAGTTACAAGAACAAGCTATAGATATTTTTACTTCAAGTTAAAATGTTGATGGAGAAAGGATTAAGATCTACAAATGGTTAAAAAAAATCTTCATTTTATATAATGCATTAACCTTAGATTTTTCATCGAGAATTTTAAATAAAAATGCCAAGCTGCCTATTTTGATGAGAACTTTTTAGTCTACCATAAAGTCTATCTTTTAGTAAAAGATAGAATTTTAAAACAAGGATTTGGGAAATCCTAAGATTAAATACACAGTCCATGATTAATTGAGAATTTTCTCTAGTCAGAATAATTAGAGGAAAACAGGGAGAGAATGACAGCAATTACAACAGAGGGATTTGAATACAAGATGAATTAGAAACCACCAGGATACGTGCTGGTTGTAATAGAATTAAATCATCATCTCTCTTTCCTTGGATCTTCAGCCAAGGTGATTTTACAGTCCGGTCATTCTGATAAGTTAGGGTCATATAAAAATTCATCCCATGGTACTGGGTCCAAGAAAAACATGATGCAGCTGCCAAATGGTAAATCTTTATGCAGATAAAGTAGCTGAATTCTGCTAAACAAAGTAAAATTGGCCCCATCCCTGTAAACAGTACTTTCAAAATATTAAAGTAGCATTATTCAGAGATAATATATATGCCATCATTATTAACAGGACATCATTTTTTAAAATTTTGATTAATTTTCATTATTTTATACCAAATCTAGGCTTTGTTAAATCTTATTATGTATTTAATTTTTAACCTAATTTTTGAATGTACATGTATGTGTGATGTGCATGTGTTCATATATGCATGTTCACATTTCTACGCATGTGTTTGTGGAGGGCCCAAAATCGATGTCAAGCATCATATTCAATAACTCTCCACCTTATTTTATTAAGGCAGAAGTCTCTCACTGAACCCTGAACTAGCAATTCAGGCTAGTCTAGCTAGCCAGCTTGCTCCAAGGATCCCTCATCTCCCTTATAGACAGATGCCATACCTTCCCAGCTTTCACACGTGATCTGGGGATACAAAGTCAGGTCCTCATACTTGTACAACATTATCCAGTGCACAATTTAATTCACTCAACCATCTCCCTAGAACCTCATATGATTTTTTAAAGCTGCAGTAATAAAGTAAAAACTATAAAAAAATTAAAAGACAAACATTAATAATCCTCTGTTCAATACAATTCAGGGTTTATCTTCTACTCTGTGTGTGTGTGTGTGTGTGTGTGTGTGTGTGTGTGTGTGTGTGTGTAATTTTTTCTATATATATGTATATATGCTTCAGGTAAAGGTACTTATACTAAATATCACAAGACATCAATACATATAAAAATAGCTTATTCTTACTGAAAGCAATATGGCAATTGATAATATGTATATTCAACCCAGTTTCTCTTGGTAGTTAGTATTTGTGATCCTTGCTACCACCAATTATACTTACCCTCCTCTCAGTCTTCTCCTAGAGGATTTTATGGAGTCCTATAACTTTATTTTTTGTTTTTTGTTTTGAGACTAGGTCTCACTATATAACTCTAGTAGCCTGGAAATATGTAGAGCAGGCTAGCACTGAACTTATAGAGATCCATCTGCTCTGCCTCCACAAGTGCTGAGATGGAAGGTGTGCATCAGCACATCCAGTTTTGTTTTATAATTTTATTAGTGTACCATTTAAGTGCTGGTGACTCCCAAATTTATAACATTATCTTGACATTCCTACTATAATAGTAAGGTGTCAATTGTCATCACCATTTGAATATAATAGGGATTTCAACCTTGACATACGGAAACTATGTATTGAAGTATAATGATATATACCATACCAATATAAATCTGGATATGTAATTATATATAAAATGTTACCATATACATAATATCTTTAGACTGTTTATTTCTGAATTTTATAAAACCATGTGCTACCATGTTCTCCAACTCTAAATTTACTTACCATCTCATCATTTCTCTTTTCCAAGTAGCAACAACTATTATCTCCTGAAATTAGATCATTTATTTATTTTGCCATTGACTTTCTTCAAATATAGAGAACACAGTCCTCTTTTGCATTCAAGAAAATAGT